GCTTTTGTTTTTATTTGAATTATTTATTTTTTTATTTTGGAGTATATTAATCGTCAACTTGATGGAAGTCTTTTAATTAAAAATTGTGCTTTTTTAGTTTCAGATCACTTGATAGATTCAATCCAATAAAGTGTTTTTTCGATTCATTTGCATTTGACTCGTCTTTTTTTTTTTTTTTGAATTTTGAAACTTTTATAAGATAAATAATTTTTGAGATTGAATAAGATTTGACATTAGAATGACATAAAAAGCTTATAATATTAGTGAGATAAAATATAGATGGAAAACAGCAGCTAAATAGAGTCGTCAAGGTAGGATAAAGCTGCATTTCAGAGATGAAACGGAGACGAAATCATATTTGTAAGGCTTATCCTTATTCAGTGGAAATGATACCACTTTCTTCCTGGCGACAGGTTCCATAATCTGCTATGACGGATTATAGTTTTTAAACTGATGAAAAAGATCATCATTGTTTACAGTTGGCAGCAGGAATCAAGATGTTTCAGGTTATATAAGACAAAAACAAATTTTTTAGTCTACAATTAAAGAAAAACAAAGGTTTCTGTAAAAATATTTGTCAAATGAAAAAAACTACATATGTCTGTTTTGTTTCCACTGAGTTTCTTTATAACACTGAAATTTCGTCAATTAAAAATAGGTGATATAAAAAGGACAAACGAAATCAATGACTATTTCCACAATGTATCAATTTGAATGTTGAAGAAAGAGAATATAGGAAGAGTTACAAAAAAAATAAATAAGGAAACAATAAAAATGAAAGATAGTTGCAATCAGTATTACTCTTAAATTGTGTTTGAAAAGAATAAAACACTACGCATATTAATAAGCATTATCGGTTGAATGAATAGATTCTAAAAATGTTCGAGCTTTTATTGAGAACAAAATAACTAATATTCCTTGGTAAATTATACGAGATGTCGGTAACGAAAAAGAAAGAAAATTACGCTAAAATTTTGAGTAAACTATTGTGATGGTAATAAACAAATATCCTCTACGTTTTCCTTCTCAAAAAATAATCTCTTTAAAAAAATCGAGTACATAAGAAATGAAATGTGATGCTCTTATTATGGATCACTAGAAATTCAGTCAAGAATTTTAAAAAGTTCTATATGTCTGATCATTAGATTCAACAAATTTATCAATGTTCTTATCGTGGTATCATGTTATTTATAACTGTTCCAATTCGTTCAAGATTTTCCTTTAAGATCAGTCCATCTAATTGACAGAAATTCATAATAAGATCCACAAATTCAACTTGTGTTTGTTCATGATTTCAGTAAGCTCTGTTATTTTGTATTAACCAATAACAGTTACTTGAAGAGATCCTAATGGATGATATAGACTTGATGAAGTCCCTTCCGAGCATACTCCAACTACACATGAGCTTCATTCGGTCAAACAAAGGATGCTTGTTTCCGATTGCCTTTTCTCAAAAACTAGTGAATGCTTGTTTTACATCTCGAGCAGACAAGAATTCCAGAAAATGTATGTAAACGCGTAGAAAACTGATGTTTTAAGTGTTTAAACACATGTGTGGGAAAGTACTTATGAAAGTATCTAAAAAGCTTCGTCAAGTCCAAAATCTGCCGTCGAAAAATAGGCTATATGAACCGCTTCTTTTTCTCTTGTTTTTAGGTAAGTGGGAGCCATGATTGTGCATGATTCTGAAAACTTAAAATACTCGTGATAATTTTGTAATGCAGGCATATTGCGCTTTTCAACTTCCAGATACCAAATAGCATAAATATTGGACATGCAGAACTATGCTATTTATTTATTCCATTTAAAGACTTCTTCATCAGCTAATTCCATTTCGGCCATTATCATTATTTTACTAGCAGCTCATCATTATTTCAATATGGAACTTATAGTATTGTTTATGCAATACCTTTGATGACAGCTGCAGCATTACAAGCACATATTATTGACACTATGTTTGCTAGGGCTTTTTATTGAGTTAGGATCATTTGATCAGTATGAAATCATCACGTAATCCATCATTCATGTATCTTATCGGTAGTTGTGACTTTGGCTGTACACATCGATACAATTTTAGATGATTATAGAGTGTAGATGTCTACGAAAACAGGCAAGACACAGTCGCACCACTTCCATTGTTTCCTATTGAGAAGAATTCGAATTGGTATCAGAAAATACCAGCGAGTGGATGAGTGAGACATAGTTATTTGAAAAACTCATGACTCGATATGTTAAGTGAGAGATATTTATGTTTCTTTCTCGGTTGGTTTTAAGAGAGAACAGAATATTGTCGTATATATCAAGTAAATATCAATCGAAGGACGTCTATCAGCAAAAGAATTATTAATAATGACTACTGGAGAAAACAAGATGCGGGCGCATGTTATGCCATTGTGTTCGCTTGATTGAGAAAATATGACAATGAATTGTGTCGTTCAGGACAAAGGAAAAAATATAATTTCTGATTTAAACCTATAATTCTTACATATTTCATAGTGAGTTTAACCCTTTCGTGCCGGGGTTATTTTCTGTAAGAAAATCGAACATATTTAATGAGAAAATGCCTCTTATTACACTTGATAAAAGAGCTTGAGCATCTGGAAGTTAAAGTGGTCTTGTCTATTGCTGGAAGTCCTATACAGTCAACGGACTTCAACATTGATAATATAGTTTTCATTGGAAGCATTTCAATATATGGCAGGTCTCCAAGTAGGACGCTATGCATAACCCAACATTGTATTTCCTGCACTCGTACCTCGTTTTTGTTTTCTACTTTGGACTAAGGATCGTTTGGTTGCAAATGAAGCAAGGTCTTCAGCCATCCATGGAGCTTTTTGCTTTTGATGAAAAGTGTCGTGCAGTCATGCGCATAGGGGTCTCTGTTGGTTATCTTCTAGAGCGATCTGATTTATGAATGTCGAATTCTTCCAGAAGCTACCGAACCATTTTCAGTCGAAAGTTAGAAAGACAATATTTTGTTTGATTTGCAGTCTGTATAGCACACAAGCAATGAAGAGCAAGATATGGAATAAATGGAAGCATAACACTGAACTTGGAATACACTTTGATACGTGTATCATAAGGAAAATGTTACCGTTCCATATATGGGACACCCGACACGAACAGGTTAATCGGATACAAGTTCCAAAGAACATGAACGTGTTTGAGTTTTGAGTATTTATCGTAATGAAATCTCGTTGAGAATGATGAAATCACATGCGATCAATAGTTAGCAGCATACATAGATTGTACTTAGATAGGCTACACATGATTGATTGATTCACTGTCACAACAGTAACAAAAGCAAGCCTTATTACTTTGAGAGTCTATGCTGTGAGAACGAGAGATTAACCAAGAGTGTCTGTACATTGTGTACAACTGTTGATCGAATTGAGAGATGATCGATACTTGAAGTCAGTTGAAAATAAACAATCAATTTTTCTTTAAAGGCAGTTTGGTCAACAAAAGATATTCTTGTGTGTGTGTTGACTGGCGATTTCAGATCATTCGTTATTGATATCCACTTTATTGATGATCGATGTACGTCATCATAGTTAACATTTTCTTATTTTCATTTGAATAGACACAATTAATCGATAACCTTTTAACTGAAAGCGTTGGAAAATGATGTTGCTTTAAACAATTGTATGATTCGTTTTGACTACAAATGTTTGGTTCCTAGATCAGTAAGCTATATAATGAATGATGTGACCACGATAGAGTTTGCTTTTAATCATGTTTCATACGTTGCCGATCAGATTAGATTACAGTCGAAATATTTTTCCAGTACCAAGTTTCAAAGCAAACAGATCTTATATCTGAGAATATTTACAAATATTTTGTTCCGTTTAAAGACAAATGTTATTTCAGGCTTAAGATCAACATAAAAAATAAAAGATAATATATCCTATAATTGATATTCTACGCGAATCAGCTCAGTCTCCACATATTCACTATATAAACCAAGATGAATTACAGCTTTGTAATCATTCTCAATTATGTATCGAATTGTGTGCTTACTGGGCATCGCTTTGGTCGTGATATTGAATTCAGTCAAGGCGACTGTACTGGATGACTATGTCAATACACCCGATCCACATTTTGGTTGGAAACGTCTACGAACATATGCATATCCGACGTACATGCTCTATGTAGTTAACATGACATCTCAACAATGGTTTGATGGTACAATAATCATGATGAGTATTTCTCAATATATATAGATTAATTCTACTTTGTAGCTTCTTTCTCATCTCAACCTATCTGGTGGCATTACATGATCATCACAGTACCACGAATACTTCGACGTTCACAGATTGCTTTTATGTTCATCGATGGTGGAGACAACACGGATCCGTAAGTCTTATTAACTATTAATAGAACTATATTTGTGTATATTTTTCCCTATTTTTAAATTAGAATACCTACTAGCAGTTCTGTAACAATGCTTGCTGAAAGTACAGGCAGTGTTACCGTAGAATTGAAACAGATTCCTAATCAACCAATAAAATTTATGGTAGGATTTGATATTGAAGTTATTCGAGTGCCAAAATATTTCATTCGTGTTAGGCTGATTCAACACAAGAGTCTCGTACAGAAGATGCTATAATAGCCTGGACTTGGAAGACATTTATTGAACAAAATGGTACAAATCCATATATTCTTCTTCGTATGCCGATGACAAAAGTATTTGATCTGAATGTTTTTTTAATCACTACTTCTTTCATTATATATTTCACCATTCTACGATTATTACTTGACTTTCAATTCTGTAACTAAAAATCTCTTCTGTGTTTGATTTTAAACATAGAATCCTATTTACATATTAAAATAGTTTTTTTTTCCTCAAGTTATTTAATAAAATAATTACTACTTTACAAATGATAGGCTGCAGTACGAGGCATGGATGCAACAGAACAATTATTAAAGGAAGAAGGATTTCCAGTACCCAACAACTTTGTCATTGCAGGACTTTCCAAAGTAAGTTTCTTTGTTAAAAGATTAGATTCAATGACTTTTTATATTTATTTCTGTAGCGTGGATGGACAAGTAAGTGTGCGAGGAATTGAATTCAATACTAATAGAATTCATATGAATAGCTTGGACAACGGCTGCTGTTAATAACCAGCGTGTGTCGGCCGCTATTCCTATTGTTCTGGATATTTTGAATCTTCAAAAGGTAAGCGAAAATATATGTTATTAATATTCTCTTAATAAAAAATTCTTTATTATCCTAGAATATGAAGCATCATTATCGGGTAGGTACAGAAGATACTATCATCTACTAAAAAATAATTCCAACATTTTATTTGAAGTCATTGGCTGGATGGACATTTGCTTTCTATAATTATTATGTATTGAACATTACTCGGTATCTTGATAATCCCTATTTCCAAAAAATGGCTTCCATTGTCGATCCATATTGTAAGATCTTCTCCAATGTATGAGTATGTATTAGTTGTACGTATTTTAAAGCCTACTTTGATCGATATGCTCAAGTGAAAGTGTTTCAACTTCAAGGCGCTAATGATGAATTCTTTCTACCAGATAGCGAGGTATTTTTTATCTGAATTGAAGATATATATATTCATATTGTCGTAGGACTATTTCTGGGATGATCTACAAGTGAAAACTGGCGGTTCTTATCTTAGGTAAGAGAAGAGGTTAATTAAAAAGAAACTTGAATATAATAAATATCATATTAATAGACGCATTCCAAATACTGGACACAGCATACAGGGATATCAAGGAAGTCTTCAAAGTTTTTATCTAAGCATTGCTGATGTAAGTCAATATTGCTTTGAATTTTGACAATTATTGATTATTGGACAATTTAGAAACAAATCTTACCGTCATTCAAATGGACAAGATCCATTAATGAAACTCATGGGCAAATTCTTGCAGTAATTGATTTTAGTACTGGACAACCTAAACCAATAAATGCTACAGTTTATCAAGCACGAACGGTTAATGGCACAAAGTAGAGTATAATATACCAACGACATCTTTTCTTGAAAACTTCCTTTTCTAGACGTGATTTTCGACAAGCAAAAATAGATCCTACATCAGGCCAAATAATTCAGAATCCTATTGTTTGGTTAAATATGCCAGTCACAATTGAAGTAACAATACTAGATAATATTATTGACATTTTCCTCTCTTTTTGTCTCTCATAGGCACAAACTAATACGTCAATAACCTACTCATATACTGCACCTATGCCACCAAGTAGCTACTGGGATGGTATATTCATTCAAGTTACATTTGTTGGACCCGAAAATACAACGTTGGATTTGACTACGGAAACACTGATCCTGCCAAACACTTTTCCAGCGGATCCATGTACTGGAGACGGTTGTTTCGGCACAATGGTCTAATTAACGCACAGAACTTATTAAATATTTGCTCTATTTGAAAATAGATGATGCATAGTACTAGAAGAAATATTATTATGAGACTTAATATTTCATTCCAATTATTAGGTACTCCTCTAGATTGACATATTTTTTTTCAAATAAACTGATATACAGCAATATCTCCTCAAGTCCTGTAAAACACGACTAAATTATTAATTAATCGCGATACAATGAAATGACAACTTATCGCTGAAACACAATAAAACATTGATATTTTACGATAGTTTAGAAGATATGGAAGAGAAAACTAATACAGAACATACAAATACTAATCATAATCGAGGCAATTCGAGAAAGTGAATGCTGTAGTGGCGGAGTCAGAAATGACTAAGCTTTCCTTCTTAGAAAAAAATATTGAATCTAATTGTTCTACTGAGAAAAATGACAGAGAACAATCAGAGAAAGCTCAGCTTCCTCTAAAAATCTTTGACCCCCTACAGAAATCTTTGAGTTTACTCGAGAAATGAAACAATCCTATATCATAGGCAAAGAAAATATCTGTTTTCCACCTTTAAAAAGGTTTGAGTCCCCATAGGTGTTTTTCTAGTTCTACCATTAAAATACTGTCGAGCACTTTAAATTGACATGAATTGTTTAACTGAGTTTGATACTTTGCTTATCATATTATCGGTGATAAAAAATCGAAATGATCAAACATATCTACCTTATGCACTTACAAAGTTGAAAATGCCCATAACAACACGAGGGATTTCAGAAATATCTTGCAAAAAGCATATCTCATCTGATTTTTTGTCACTTTTTGACGTCACAATATACGGATATCAAACAACGATGTGTAGGATCGATGCAATTTCTATTGTTTATATGAATGCTGTATTTAAATTGAAAATAATATTACACTATCAAAACCACAACATTGTGCTGAAAATAGCGATTATTATAGGCGATTTCTGATAGAACTTGATGTTTAAACAATAGTAGACGTATCAGAGTAATCAATAACATGAGTTACGGATGAAAAGATGAATGGATTCATTAACCATTGTTATGATTAATATATCTAAATAAAAACGAATTATTCAACCTATTAAATTGACTATAATAAATATATTGGTCGTTTTCTCATCAAATATTCTAACTTCGGTAGCACAACAGTTTTCAAATTGTATTCATTCGCAGCAGCTTTGAGAAAAATATCTATGAAATTAGTTCGTTAACACGCATCTGTTTGAGTTTATTTATGAAGAATAAATTATATTTTAATCTAATTCAGTACAAGAGCAATATTTAAGATAAAACATGAAGAAGATTAAAAGTTTGAGCAAATAGTTTCTATCAAGATGTGTTGACAAAAATATAATACTATTAATAGATTTGTTTTATAACCCTTCTCGATCAACCATCATCTATGCTGTTTTTTACATCTCTAAAATTTCATGATTAAAGTGTTTTGATAGACACATGATTTCTTGCTTGTCACATAACTTGTTATGAATATTATGAGTGTCAATAGAACATTCTGCAATCTCTGATATAAATATCATGTTTTTGTTTATTCCAAGAATATTCATCATTTGAATTCAAAACTATTGTCGAATTTTTATACACAGTCATATTTTCTCGTTGTTTTTGGTGATATTTCATAATGTCTGATGACATAATATACCTAGTAGCCGTGTGACGCTCTGAAGATTGAGAAAGAATTATGCAATAGTTTCGTAGAAAACCAACGTAAAATTTCAAAAATATTTTGTCACTTTTTTTCTAACAGGAACGAAAATTTTTCGATTTAATATAATATTCAAATAAAACATGAAAACTTGTATTCTAACTCTATATATGATTATTTGATATAGGCCCATTTTATGATACTAAAAGTCATACGTCAAGATAGATGTTACTATATGGAGAAGTATGATTTTGTGATTCACATTTTTAATAAAATACTTTTTCTATTACACAAATTTCGATTCAGTGAAACTATAAATATGATATTCGTAATATGCTTATAAAACTGCATATAAATAATGTACTTCTCTAAACTAAATAATGAGAAACAGTTCTTAGATAGATAAAAAAGTCAAATCGATCATAAGAAAAAAATTAGTATGTAATTCATTATTTAAAATTATTTTGCGCACTTGTCAATTTCGGTATTCTATATAAAACAAAATATTTTTTTATTACATTCTTTAATTAGTAAAGTGCACAGATATTTGATAAAATAATCTTGTAATGAGATAGATGATACTTTGTTTTATTTTGATTATTCTAATCTGACTTGTCGAGATTTATTCAATTGAGAAATTTCTCTCATCTTTTGAGATCAATCGATTCATTGCGCTCGACATATCGGTAACACATGATTTTGAATTTTCTCCTTATTATAATATATAGATTCTCAAGATTGGAAGAATACGGTTTAGAAACGAGAATTCACCTTTATCTATCTGTGTATTTGTGACATCATAACCATCTGGTAATTATCGTACAAATGACCATTTGGTCGCTATGGCATAGATGACGTGAAAGGATGAAAAGCAAGCATTCATGTATTAGGATTCAAATTAATCGAGAAGTAATATTCCAAGACAAAGAATACGAAATTTGTATACACTGTGAAATGACTCTATAAACTCGGTATTTCATCTATTAGCAGTCATGACTAGTTTCGTTCTTGCTCTAGGGCTCTATCAGATTACTTCGAAATATTCTGTCTTGTTTGTTACAATAAATGAATAACAAGCACGTTTTTGTATTCTAACTAGAACAATATCTAGTTGAATACGAATGTTCTATATAATTATAACAATAATAGATTCTATAATGCCTATTTGATTTATTTAATTTTTTTATTACTATAATAAAGACAAATTCGAATATCATTAGTCATCTAACAATGAGGCCCTTTAGCAAGACTGAATTGATCATGACTGCTAATAGATTAATATTGATTTTTCTTTATTAACATAAGAATCCAATTTTGTAAGATGAAAGAATTGGTTTAATGAAAACAAATCATTATCATATGTAAATTAGTCGCTTGTATTTGCCTAGTATAATACTTAATGCACATGTATATCTAGATATATCTTTATGCATATCTCTATTCCATCAGTCTAAAGTCAAATGAATCAGGTCTTTGAGAATGTCACTTATTTCTATACAGGGTGGTCCAAAAGTCACTGGGCAGTCAGTCTTTAATTTTGAATAACTATTGATCGAAGCAAGATAGACAGCTGCGATTTTCACTGTTCGAAAGAGAGAGTGTTACTGCATAGTTCCATGTATTAATCAACAATCTTGTCTGATGATCAATTAATGAATCTTCGAAGAAAACAGTGACAGTTCTATGAAGATAGCATGAAAGTTCAAATCTAAGAAGTGCACTAGGCTTGCGTCCTTAAGATTCATTCTCATGTCTATATCCTAAAATTTTATCTTGTTTTATTCAAAAGTTATAAATGTGACACTAAACGATGAGGATGTGGGCATCGATAATAAGTACGCGGGTCTAGTGCACTTCTTAGATTTGAACTTTCATGCTATCTTCATAGAGCTGTCACTGTTTTTTCGAAAACTCACTAATTGATCATCAGACAAGATCGTTGAATAATAAATACATGGAACTATGTAATAACACTGTCTCTTTCGAACGGAGTAAGCTGCAGCTCTCTATCTTGCTTCTGACAAAAGTTATTCAAAATTAAAGACTGACTGCCCGGTGATTTTTGGACCACCCTGTATATAGATCGCATCATTTATTGCGAAAAAAAATTAAAATTAACCAATGGACTTGATATAACATGATTTAAATTGTTTTATGCTTGTAATTTTGCAGGTTATTTTCGCTTTTTCATAAGAGTGAAATCTATCAGATATCTGTCATAGGATTAATCGAAGTCTTCAATTGAACGTAATAAATCTACCTTGTGAAATTGATATAACGAAATGCATTAAAAAAATGTCTCATTTTGATTTCATTTACTTTTTTTTTTACGCTCTATTTAAATTCTTTAAGAAATTTTCTTTCGAAAAATGTTTTCGAAAACAGTTTGTTTGATTAAATTGTACGTGCTTTGTTAACGTAATGTTCTTTTCTCAAAAATGGTTGAAAAGCATAGTAGATTGTCAATCGAATGTAAATTTTTTTTTGTTATTGCTCTTTACAAAGCATAAACGTGTAATCAATAGATAAGTATTTAAATACTGATATGTATGAAAAAAAGATACAAGAATAAAAGAAAGTTAAACTAGACGGAATATTGATGACAAAGCGATTAATATTCGATAGAATTCTAAGAAAATATGACTATCGACTTTAATGATGAAGGAAAGAAGCATTTCTCTTGAGAATAATTAAGTTCATTCATTTTTTTTTTTTTTTTATTCCTATGAAGAACAATAGGAAAAACTCATATTGGTTTGTCATGAAGACTAATGCCTCATTCATCTTAGAATATTTGATGAGATTGTCAAAGACGAAAAAACACATCTCTCTTTCCTGTATTAGAACAAGAACGGATGTTGATTGACGGCATATGTTTTTCTGCTCTACGATGATTAACGTCATAGGACGAGAAAACTCATTTTCTTCTATACAATTCATAGGCTTTTCTTTCTTGTCATTTACTATGAAAATGAATATATGTCAGTCAGTTTTTCAATGTAAATCCATATCATTATTCCAATATCAAATTATTTGTCAAAGTAAAAACTATGACGAAATAAAAAAATACATACTTATTCTGGTTCTTTTTTTTTTTTTTTTTAAATAAAACTTATTGATGAGATAATTCAACATAATTGTCTTTTATTTTAATATGACAAAAAAAAAAAAAGAAAGAAAAAGAAAAAAAAATTCTATTCTACAGGTACACAAATCACTGTTCAATGTTTAATTTGGTATAAGAAAATATGTTGTCATACGACTTTTTCCTTTAACATCAATTTCTCCTCTTAATTCAAATTTATATTTGTCTTTTAAAGCTATTGCTACA